CATTGTGAGATCATCTGATAGCAATGGCAAGAGCAAAGGGCCCCCCCCCCCCGATATTCAGGCCTTCAGGAAACGGCATTCATGCTCTCCTCATTTAGGAGCAGGCCCATCCAGCCCTATAACTCTCTCCAGCGAACATGAGCCATCTCCCCTCCTGGGGCTTCTCCTCCTAGATTTACAGTTGGAATCTCTGAACAGAGCACACATTTCAAGAGAAAGATGTCTTTAGAAGCGCACAAGTTTAGCAAAATCTTTACATGCAAGGGCTAACAGAAACTTCGGCACACATACATCTGTTGTGAAGATTATCTGCTGAGTGTGAAGGAATGTTCCCACTTATATGGATCCATATGGCAAGCACCTCTTAATAGGAAGGCCAGGGAAGATGTCTCACACCATTTTCCAGGGTACATTTGGCAAGTGTAGAGATAGTATGGGCCAGTTTGGAACAGAACCCTTCTTTTTGTGATACATGTATGAAAAGCGATAAAAGTGTACCTGACTTGTATGATCTGAAATGTCAAAACTACACCAATTGTGAATAGTAATGGTCCTTTTTCAAAATAACTGCCTTTCAAACAAAACACCCTGGGTTTTCTAAAAATCTCTTAAAAATCACTGCACCTACTTTTCTGAATAGAAGAGCCTGAATTTAGCAAGACATATTAGTTCAGAAAGGGTGGCTATACCTGCACATCATTCTACCGTGTAAAATAAAATGAAATAAAATAAAGATGATGATGATAACAACAACAATAACAGCTGTTTGATAATTCCCACTGTTATCCACAGGAGAGATATACAAAGCTTCCAAGTGACACCCTGCTTTGAGCTTGAACTGAGGAAGTGGGCCACGGAAAGCAATCTGAAGGGAAATGAGCAACTTTCCTCAGCAGGATAGAAGTCAAATTTTGTCTTCAAAGAACTATCTCTCGCATGTGATCCACTTTGTTTCAAGATAAACTCAATTTATCAGCCATTTCAACAGTGAAGCGAAATAAACAGATCTGATCAGCATTCGACACCTGAGATTGTTCATGTCTAGAATCGCCCCCCTCCAAATGCAGTCCATGGTTATGAATAATGAGTTCTAGTCCAAAAGAGCTGGAGGGTGCCCAGTTGGGAAAGGCTGGTCTGACATAATCTCTTATCAATTTGTGCCTCTCCTACAGAAATAATTCTTACAACCATCCCATATACTCTATCTGCACATGTGTCTCCCAAGACAATATTCTGGCCACTGAGCTGAAGCCAAGCTTCTCCTCCTAAACCAAATGCTGCCTGCCATCTTATCCTCAAATCTATTTTTCAACCAGTGCAAAATTGGTGCAGCCATTTTCACCTCAACATCGTATACACCTGAAGCTTCAGGAAGTAGGCCAACAATAAGATGCAGGGCATCTGACTTCTTGTTTGCAGTCTCTGACCAGCTAAAAGTATTTGTCGCATGGTCCAAAGTACTAGGCTGTAGTGGTGGAAGATTGATATAAAGAAAATGCATTTGCTTAAAGGAGCAGAGCCCTTCAAATGATCTATTATAGTGCTTATAGTGCTCTGGAAATATTTGGACTTGAGCATCTCATAGCACTGTGGAAGTACAGATGCATCAGTAATCTGTGCTTATGGTGAACCATGTCTACTCATAATCATACAATTAGTTGTTACTCTAGCGACTGAACTGACAGAACTCTAGTGTCAGAATCTGGTATAGTCAGATTTTTAAAAACTAACTGCCAACTACAAAGAACTATGAATGTAGCTCAGTGATCCCATGGGGACTTTCAGCTTACATTTAGAGATGGGGAACGAATTTAAAAAATGGTTATTCGTTTTGATCCATTATTCATCAATGTTAACTAATCAACGAATATGAATATATGAATATTCTTCGATGAATTGACAAATCAATCCGTAGGTCTGGGTTTGTCACAATCAGAACTCTGAGTTATTCACCCAAAAATTGGGTCCCCCCAGGAGAGTTTACCACACAGCACAGAAGCCCATGGCATTGAGGGAGTTATATTTAGCCCCAGCCGAATCAGGTGTCCCTTTGACAGAGGCATGTATGAGGCATCGAGTTTGTCTTCAGCTCAGCACAACATTACATTTGCCAGTGAAGTAGAGTTTGCCCTCAGGAGGACTGGAGGCAAGGAGATATTTGGCAGCACAGCAGGCTTTTTGGCTCCGTTGGGCACTGAGGGAAAAGGCAGGAGGAAAGCAGGGGGTTTTTTTTGGCCCCATCAGGACACTGAGGTAAGTTGGCAGCAGCAAAGTGGCATGTGTTGCCCCATCGGGCACTAAGGACGTTGGCAGCAGGAAAACAGGCTGTCGGAAACAGATCAGCATTGCAATCTGAAGCCAGGCGATGGGGCGACAAAGATGCTCGTTTAGAACTAGAAAGCTGGGGATTGCAACTTGGCTACTTAGACTGCCCAGATATGATAAAAGATAGCCTTCGGAGGTTTTGGGGGGCTTAGACAGGCTGGCCCCCTTGGCACAGGTTGAAAACCAGACGAGCTCTGCCGTCTGAAGCCAGGCGATGGGGCAATGGGATGATGGCTAGACAGGCTTTGGGTGGGGCTGAAACAGGCCCTCTTGGGCATGGGGGACGCCCGGACACGGACAGGCTTTGGGTGGGGCAGAGCCTGGCCTAGGAGACTCACCTGTCCACCAACGCCTAACTAGACTTGCTGACAACCTTCAAAGAAAGAAAGATGCTCAGGTTGAAAACCAGACAAGCTCTGCCATCTGAAGCTGGGCAATGGGGTGACGCCTGGACAGGCTTGGATGGGGTAGAGCCCAACTTTGGGTGTGCCAACATGGCTGGACAGCCCTCTAGAATGGCACATTATGGGCGTCACCCAACACAATTTATTCACTTTTCTTACTGCTCAGTCTGGGTCTGCCAAGAGAGCTGGATGTCCTTCATCACTCATTCGGGGCTGCTGGGACCGGCTCTGGGTGTGCCAGCCAAAAGGGTTAGATGGCCCTCTTGGCATGTTTGGATGACGCACAGACAGGCTTTGGGTGGGTGGGGCAGAGCCTGGCCATGCTGCTACTACAGCGGTTAATCCATGGAGCCACTAATTTGTCTGGGTAATTTGTTCCAACTTCTGCCTACCTACTGAGTTGGCATGGGGCTGTAAGCAGAGTGTTGCCCCATCGGGCACTGCGGTAGTGGGCAGCAGCAATGTAGAGTGTACTGCCCCATCAGGCACTGAGGTAGTTGGCTCAAAAGTAGATGGGAAAGCATGTCTTAATAGGCATCGGGCACCAAGGCAATTGGCAGCAAAGTAGGCTTTGCCCAGTGGGTGTGTAGTGGCAGAAATCTTCAACATCGATGAGCAAGACGGTGGTGCTTGACATCAAGGTGGCATATGAAACACAAGCCTCCAGAAAGAATTAATTACAGTGGTGCCTCGCTTAGTGATTGTCTCGTTTAACGATGTATTCGCTTAGTGATGAGGTTTTTGGAGCGATCTTGCACTCCGTTTAGCGATGTTTCCAATGGGGAAATTTCACATAGCGATGTTCGGGACCTTGCTTTGCTTAGCGATGTCCGTTTTCGCTATTTTAAGTGTGTCTTAAAATGTTCAAAAACTGTTTAAAATGCTTGGAATCGTTAGTGCACCTTGTAAAACCTTTGCAAACTTAATTTGGCTTTGTTCTGAGTCTTCATTAATTTTTGGTGAATTCCCCCCTCCCATTGGAATGCATTGAACTGTAGGTTTTGATAACATCACATTTGCCTGCAAAATTACTTAAGTTTGTCCCCAGGAGGCAACTGAGGTTGTCAAAGCAGCAGCAACAGCAGGAGAATAGGGTCCGACTGCAAGGTGCTACTAATGGCAGTTAAACAGGGTAGCTGCTGGGTTTCTCGAGCGGAAGATCAGCAGTTCGAATCCATACAATGGGGTGACCTGAGCTCTTGTCCCTTGTTCCTGCTTCTGCCTACCTACTGAGTTAAACTGCTGCTGAGCCACCAGGCTTGTTGATCAGAAGGTCTAGCAACCTACTCAGGCAGTAGCCCGAGTGGACTTTGGAGCACTGTGTTGGCATGGGATGGCCGGAGAGGCATTAGGTGGGGCAGAGCCCAGCCCTCTTGGTACAGGGATGCCTGGACAGGCTTTGGGGGGGGGGGCAGAGGAAAAGGAAGAGGCAGAGGCAAAAGGAATCCATTGTTACAGACGCTACCAAGGCACTGTGAGGAGCGGGGTTCAGCCTACCTGGTAAGTGACCTGTTCTGAATTTTTGGCCCATAGGAACACATTAATTAAATTTAAATGCATTCCTATGGGAAACTGCACTTCGCAAGACAAAAAACTTGTAATAAGACACGCCTACGAGTCACCAAAAACATCACAAAATGCTTTCGTCTTGCGAGTTTTTCATTGTGCGAGGCATTTGTCTTGCAAGGTAACTGCTGTATTCGTCATTTCTTGAACAGCAGTCTCACACAACATGGCAAAGCACTTTAAAGACACAGTCAAGCTTTAAGAAGAGTTTTGTGTAAAACAGGAGAGTATCAATCAAAAACAATTAACAAAAATTGGTAAGCTCAAACAATTTTAAAATCTGAGCCAGTCTAAAATGTACTCTAAAATCCCCAAAAATCCACTTTGTCAATCAAAAAGCCTCCAACTATTTTACTGTAATAATAGGACATTTTAACAATTCCATCCCCTGGCTAAGAGCCATAAGTCTGGATTGTTATACAGAGCCCTGTATACTTTACACAGCTGCAGCTGACAGGAAGGCTGGACATCAACCTGAGTTCAAATCACGACTTGACAAGGAAGATCATAAGACGGGCTTCATCAAGTTCAACTTAGCTTAAAGGATTATTCTAACTGACACAAGTGTTGTACCAGTGAAATGGGATAATGACATGCCTTTCACTCTGTCTTAGAAAAAACCATGTGGTAAAAACATAAACACAGCATTTTAAAGGGCTGAGCTACCTTGTAAAAGAATACAAAACATTAAACAAACTTGACAAATAAAAAAACATTTAGAAATTTTAGTTTTTTGATTGAAAGTACATATTTATAATAAGCGCCATACAGCAGTTGCATCAAACTCCCAAGGTACATACGCAGGAGAAGCGGCAGACAGTACCTGAACATCTGTAGGAGTCCCGAAAAGCAAAAGCTCAATTAGTGTGACAAAACACCCAAGGGATGTGCAATAGTTCTGGCAGTTAGGTAAAGGGTTAAACAAACAATAAACACACTTGAAGTACAGCCCTACTTCATGTTTGCATAACAAAATTCAAACAATACATATTGAGGCTCAGTGCTCCTGACCGTTGCTGCTTCTCCACCAATCCTTTTCTGGATTAAGCAGAGAAGAGCAGCCAACTCATCAGAGTGATCCCTCTCTTATCTTCCACTCCATGGTGGGCAAAGTGCAGCCCCCACCTACACACATGTGGTGGACTGCAATTTCTAATATGCCTCACAGATGGTTAGTTGCAGTCCCACGTCGCCTGGACTGCTGATTTTTAGACATCCTCATTTTTTACAGTGTAAAATCCACAGGTTTAACAACTGGGTCATATGAAACATTGCAACTGCTGAGATTCTACTCGGTTTATCTGTTTCATTTTTCGTAAGGCTATGGTTTACACTGAAATGCATGACTTATCTTTGAAGGCAACCCAAAAACATGTATTTCAAAGTAAACATTTACTTTTGTATGTAGGCCACATACAGATGTAGGACAAATTTCTTCACATTTCGAGCCTTCCCCAAAGTACACACACCATGTCTTATGTACAGCAGTAGGTTTGTGACAATTCCTGAACTTAAGGTGCATAGGCAGATGAAGCCTTACGCTGGAAAGACAAGAGCTTATAAATCTGCTCATAAAATGACATGGCAAAATGCCTTTTTAAGTTATCAAAGTCTTTTCACTACATAAACAATAAAATAATCAAATGAAATAACCCTGCCACCCTAGATCAAATGTATTTCCAGTATATATTCTTCAAAAAAGATTCCCCATTTTAAAATAAAATTCAAATATATATATATATACACATTTATATAACTTAAGTGTTGTTTGCTGTAATCTCTTCATGCAATTTCTTCAGGTGTGACCATCTTAGAGAGGCCTTTCTGAAAATGCAGTAAAGCTCTTCACTCGTGCAAAGAACAAAGGGGTGTACATCTTGTCAATGTCAAAAGATGAAACTGCTGTCTCACCAGTAGATCTATAGAAGAGATAATAGAAATGAATTACTCATGCATTACTTTGGCAAAATGAAGAGGACTAGGTTAAGCTGTGTTGTCATACATGCTCTTCTCTATACATGGAATTACAATTTAGGAATGACAATGATATAAAAAGATGGGTGCGTCATATTTGTGCTGAAATTCTTTAGGAAAAAATACAAAATATGATGCAGAACACATATTACAGTTATCCAAGAATTAAAAGCAATTTTTTATTCTTCTGTTTGTCTTATGAAAAAAAGAAAAGAAAAATAAGCTATGAATTACTAAAATATTGCATAATTGTCCACTATGAGAAAAAGCATACAGATCTGGTAATTAGCATAGTTTCAAGGTTCAAGTATCAGGTTTTTCTGTAAAACAAGCTATCTTGCTATGGCATAAAAAAAAAATTGTGCAGACTACGTACAATCCCAGAACACACAGTAAATGCCATGCCTAACTGCACCTGTATGTGATAAGGCACAGCTATATAGCAAAAAAAACAAAAAACAAAAAAAACCACCTCAGCATATTATGCTATGAAGATTACAGCAACCCTCAATAATTCTAGACAACCACATTAAGGTTTTCTTGTGTTACAAAAACATCTCACACTTCCTGCCCAGAGCTCCATTGGTGCTGCACATGGGCAGCCAGTTAGTTTACGTCCCATTTCAAATGAAGCCCCACCCACCCCCGCAGACACAGAGTGAGGCTCCTGCACAGCTGGACAGACACTTAACAGAGAATTGTGAGTAGATGCGCCAATCCCTACATACTCCACACTTCAATAAGATTACTAAAGAACTGTAAAACATTCAGATACCAATTAGAATCACCCAACACAGACTCTCTCTAAGCAGAGCGCTCATTCAAGACACCTGTAAGAGGTGAATGAAAGTATCATGCTTTGCTCTGAAGTCTATTGACTTGCTTTCAAAGCGAGCCTGAAGTTTGAGTTTATCTCACTCAAATATACTCTTGTTTTTTCTGTGCCTTTTTTCTGTGCCTCTTAAAACTTACCTGTAAGTAATGTGACAAGAGTGATGAATCCAAATGAGCTTGTTGAATCTCTGGCGGCCACTGGAACACAGCTGTAGCCCTACATGAAAGCTGTGATCAGTTTCTTGGACAGGAACACGACAGAAATATCGGTATCTGTGGTAATCAATTGGTTTCTACATAAGAAAAAGAAACAGGATGGACAGTTAAAAAAAGTGAAATAAGAGATTTGCACTATATCTGACAAGCAGGTTAAGAACACAAAATTAATTACACTGCCTGTGTATTTCCATTAGTGGAAAATGTACAAAACAGACACAGTCATGCTTAGAGCATTCCCAATCCTCAATTTTTTTAACTGGCCTACTCCAAGCACTGGGACATCACCATCAAAAGCCAACTATAGTCATATTTTGAAATCTGAGTAAAACAAATGAAGATACCACTAATTTAACTTCTGTTAAAAAGGATGTGTACATGCCTGTCAGAGTTACAACTCTAAGGTCATGAAGCCCCCACAACACAAAAGATGGAGGAGAGCTCTTTCCAGGCCTCCAACAAGCTCTCTGATCCTTACATTCCACCCTCCTCCTTTAATCCTAACTCCTTTCCCTCTACCTAACCTACAGCCTCACCCTCCAACTCTGGGCTTGTCATTCTTGCTCTTTCTTAGACACCCTGTCCCACAATCCACATCCTGAGGCTGCCCCGCTGCTGGGAGTCTCCAAATAGTCCTGATGGGGGCATCAGGATGAGGCAGATGAACCCACTGGGGATGACAGAGGCATTCCCCTTACAGAGGATCTTAGGAATGTTGTGTTTCTTAAAATGCATTAAATATTTATATAAAAATACAGAGTAGCATTGTTTTTAAGCATATTAAGACAAGCCTTTCTTTGGAGATCCAGATTCAAATCCATACAATGACCAATAAATGTGTAACTTTGGTCCAGTCATCATCCCCCAGCTTGCCTAATTTATCGGGATGTTGGAAGGATAAAATGGGAAGGAGAGCCATGTAAGGTACCTTAATTCACTAAAGATGGGATATAAATGCAAGTAACAAATGAATAAATACATCTGCCCATGTGTTTGAAGCCTGCAATACTATCCTCAGTCGATAACAGGGGAGCCTGCAACAAAATGCCTCCTCCACTGCTTTTAGCTTACCTCATACCCCACATTCTCAGTCTCTATCAATACCTACCTCTTTCTATTATCTCTTAACAATTTTTCCTAATCCCAACCTAGCTCTGTTCCCCTCTCTAGAAGAATGAGGTGATGAAATCACATGTACATAAATGCAAAAATAGCTATATATGAAAACATATATGAATTCTTACCTAAAGCTCAAACAATAAGCTCACAGTAAGATTAAAATGAGCCATAATCCAGAAGTTCTGAAATTATACACCCATCCAATCCATGGATTTATAATTATGACTTTTCATCTAAAAATGCTTTATCCCCTTCTACATTTTTTTTAAGAAAAGGATTTACATTTCTCTTTTAAGGCCATTTCTTTTAAGAAAAGGTCTCAAGCCATCTTCCTAGATCCAAGGGATACTTTTCAAAAAGCTATTCAAGGGCTGTTCATAAAAAGAATTGTTCCAAACTACATCTATTTCTTGCCCTGCTATATTAATCAGTGACTTAGGTTTCTAGAATTTTCTTTCATGTGTACCTCTTCTTTCTTCTTTGTCATTACAGCAAACACTTTGGTTTGATTGTCTGTATCCTGGGAAAGGCGATAATGGCCAAGCAGGATTGCATCCGTTCTAAGGTTCAAAAGGAAAAGACTCCATTAAAATATATGTTGCTGCAAGAGTTGAAAGTGCTTTAAGGCAGAGGTTGTCAACCCCCGGGCCGCGGCCCATTACCGATCTGCAGCTTGAGCCTGACCGGGCCATGAAGAGAGACCTCCCCCCCCCGCACACACTCCCCTCCCCACAGCTGATTTGCGCACGGGCGTGTCACCACAGGCGTGAGTACTCCCTCACCCCTTCATGCAAGCCCTCGCGTGTGCAAAAGCAGCTATGGGGAGGCGAGTGCGTGCAGGGGCGGGTGGGAGGTCTGCCTTTGCGACCTGGTGGCGGTGGCGACTGGAGTGGGGGAGAGCTGGAGGGAGAGCAAGGACCGGGTGCTCTCCTCCCGGCATCGGCGACGGGGGTGGGGGGATGGGGGAGAGCCGGGAGGAACAGCAAGCCCCGGGTGCTCTCCTCCCTGCATCTGCAGTGGCGACGGGGGTGGGGGGATGGGGGAGAGACGGGAGGAAGAGCAAGGCCTGGGTGCTCTCCTCCTGGCAGCGGCGACGGCAACGGGGGCGGGGGGGGGGTGCAGAACCGGGAGAGAGAGAGAGAGAGAGGCAAGCAAGTATTTACGTTTAGAGCAGGAAGGGAACAGAGGTAGTACTTCCCCCAGTAAGGAGGCAGAAAGAATACGTATGCTGGCTTGGGGTATTCTCAGCCTCAGGTTGGGAACCATCATACCCCATTTGCAAAGTTCTTGGCATGTCTCTTGTGCGCGTGCGCTCCCCCACTACTTGCCATGTTCGCAGGAGTGCCTGCCCACCCCACCCATGCGCGCAGGTGCATGCTTGAAGGGGTGAGGGAGTGCCTGCCAGTGCCAGCAGCCTGAGAGTCTGAGCATGACTGGGGTGCTCCCTCCGGCCGCTCGCCTCCCAGGCTCCAACAAAGCCAGGGGCGGCACTACTCGCAACCCTCAGCAGGCTGATGCCGCCTGCTTGCCGGGGCTGCCGCATCAGTCTTCGGCGCTCCTCCCCGCCCTCCACCATTTGAATTTCCCACCGTGGAGGGCGTCGAGGAGTGCCAACCCTGGCATGAGGGGCCGCCCGACCTCCCTCAGAGGCTCAGCTGGTCCGTGGTAAGGAAAAGGTTGAGGACCTCTGCTTTAAGGTGAAAACCTGGCACTGCACAACCTTTAAGCCACTATTTGCTCACTGCTAGCTGGGCAATTAAAAAAAATTATAACCCCCTTGATTAGCATTAAAATGAAAGTGTATGGTGCATAAAATAAACAAACCTTGTATTTTTAGTTCGTAAACGAGGAACAATAGACTGAGGCTCTTCAGGAGTTGTTAACATCATTACTTGACCATCTGGGAAGAATCGCAGGTACCTAATAAATTAAGCAACCATTAACCTGGGAAGAACTTACAGGTTAAAAGGGCAGCAATCCAAAAAAACTTAGTCCTTACAATCTAAATGTTCCTGCATGACCACTAGAGCTTACCTGATTTCCTATGTCAATCAGTTTCTTGTGCAGCATCAGAGGTTACTCCCATTAAAAACACTGGACAGAGTTATAATGTCAGATCATTGCTCTGCCTAGCACGGCATTGTCAAAATTGACCAGAAAAAAATGAAGGGTACCTTATAAACATCGTGCAGGAACTTCAGATCAGAAATAAACTCCTAAAAGCTTCACTGTACATACTCGGGTGCATAATTTTTATATTTTATCAAACCCTTCAATTCAATTGCTGACAGCTCCAGGTTAGACTGAGAGAAACCACTCCTGAAACCTTGTAGCACTGGTTTATGTCAATATTGACACTGTTGTGACAGGCACCTCAACGTTCTGAAAATATAAAATGGAACTATCCAATGTTTCTAAGCTCACCTAGGAATGTAACAAACATAATTTGGCAGAATTTATAAACTACACTTAACTACTGCTGAAACCTTTCCAACAGTACAAGCAAATGTATCAACAGGAAGATAGCGATGTCATCTAAACACAACATATTCCAAGTTTTAATTTGTATACTCTAGAGCAGAGGTCATCAACCCCCAGTCCGCGACCCATTACTGGTCCTTGGATTAAGCCCGACCGGGCTGCCAAGACAGACTGCCCGCACCCCCGCACACATTCACCCCCCCTGCAAAGGTTGTTTGCGCCTGCTCGCACACTTGTGCGCTTGCGCAAATGACAGCGCAGCCTCACGGAGCCCAGCTGGAAAGCCAGCAGCGCGGATGGACCCAGTGGCTGGAGGCAAGAGCCTGGGAAATTTGAATGGCCTCCCCGTCAGGCTCTGCCTCCAGCCGGTGGATCCATCTGCGCTGCTGGCTTTCCAGCCGGGCTCCTTGGCTGTTCTCCCGGGAAGCCATTGGGCGCCTTCTCGGAGAAGCAGGAGCAGGTGGAATGGAACTGCCGCTCGGCACCTCTTCTCATGACAAAGGAGAAGGGGAGGGAGTGCTCCTGCACTTTCTGCCCAGCCTCGCTCCCAGAGAGCAGGGGAAACTCCGCATCCCGTGTCAGGCTGGGTATAGAGAGTTCAAGGCAGGAGACTGTCGGCTCCCTGCCTGAGGATGGGAAACCACCCAGCCGTGAGCGGTTGAGGCGGGCTTGCTGCCTCCCCCTCCTGCCTGTTCCTATCTCCCTCCGATGCTGGCAAGCGAGCAACCCAGCTGAGTGAGTAAAAGGCTAGATTTAGTCTGCTGACCATTGCCAGTACAAAGGTGAAGGCACCACCACCCGGCCTCCATTTTGCAGGGATCGGCAACAGGGCGGCCCTTTTCCCAAGTCGGCGTTTTCTCTCCCCGGCTGGTGGAAAATAGGCCAGGCAGAGGGGGAGAGAGAGGGAGGTGATAACTTCTTCACCTTTGCAGCAACAGCCCCCCTATGCCGAGGTGTTGGGGGGGGCAGTGGGCCCATGCTTCCAGGCAGGCAACCAGGAAGGCACGGTAGGGCAGGGAAAGCCAGACGATCAGGGCACGCGGGGGATGAACCGCGCAGCGCCGGCGAGAGCAATGACCAGGGGGAGTGCGGCTGCACCGCCACCTTCCCTCTGTCCACCACGACTGGTCTCCACGCGAACTGGGGAGCAGCCCTTTTGTGCGCTGTGAAAGAGCCCTGGGTGCTGCTCCCAGGTCATTTTTACACATGAGGCTGAAGAACAGCAGCGCCCTGCCTGATCTCTCGGTCATAGGTAGAGGAGAGGGATAGACAAGGATGGCTGTAGCGATTGACGTGAAAGAGGGAGGGAAAGAGGGAGGGAGGCGATGACTTCTTCCTGCTGCCGATCATCTTTGCAGCAGCAGCCCCCCCCACGCCAAGGGTGTGTGTGTGTTTTTTTTTTGGCAGGGGAGAAGGTGGCAGGCAGCCCCCCCCCACGCCAAGGGTGTGTGTGTTTTTTTTTTTTGGCAGGGGAGAAGGTGGCAGTGGGCCCATGAGTGTGACATGAGCGTGGGGGTGCACCGCCCCCCCACCGGTCCTTGCACGAAGCCAGTACCCCCAAAATGGTCCGTGGTCCCAAAAACGTTGGTGACCGCTGCTCTAGTCTAGATCAAGACAGTCAACTAGCCTTATCTGTGGCCATTTGTGACACCTGCACACAACACACAGAAACCCTGACTGATGTCCTTGGAAATAGATTACTTGGTCTCTACATTCCATCCTGTGAATGCTTCATACAGAGCTGATGTAGACCAGGGGTGACCAAGGAGTACCCTCTGTCCTGCCAGAATTGATTAACACACTCATTTTGCAATAGTCGTACCTGTAATAGTCCACTTGGTGCCATGCCCTGTAGAAACCATCAAGAGACTCTTCTCCCTGACGTATATATGTTGTCTTGCTGATATATACACCTGCAAAAGATAGAATAAAAGCATATAAAATTACGCATAAACTTGTGAACTATAAACCTTTGTGTTCAGTTAATGTCTACATATAAAATGTTTTAAATGTCCATGTTTAATAAAGTCATCTGAAATTTATACAAACCAATAGTATTCCTAGCACAGAGTTCACACAATGATCTTTAGTCTTTTCTCTATTATTATTTTTCCAGCTATAGTCATAACTATTGTAATAAACCCAAAATATCAAACAGTTTATAAGTGGGTAAGTCAGCAATTCAAAATGTAAGTAATTTAATAAATGCCTCATTTCCAGTTAATCTACAGCCATTAATAAACTTTTCATTGGTATGACACAAGCTAAAGAAACAATCTAAGAAAATCCCAAGTCTGCTTGGCACACTGAAACCAACCAGAGATTTCCTAGTACAGTGGTGCCCTGCTTGACGATAATCCGTTCCAGCAAAATCGCTGTTAAGCGATATCGTAGTCAAGCGGAAAAAACTCTATTGGAATGCATTGAAAACCGGTCAATTCGTTCCAATAGGGAAATACCTTATCGTCCAGCAAAAACTGCCCATAGAGAACCGCCAATCAGCTGTTCAAAGTTGCTGTAATGCAAAGCTTCCCTTCGGAAAGCAGCCATTTTGCAAAGGGAGGGAAGCCATTTTGTGAACGGAAGCCATTTTGCAGAGCTGGAAAAAATTGTTGTTAAGCGAACAAAAGGTTCGCGATGCAGGCTCCTAATCGACGTCAAGCGGATTTCCCCCATTAGAACCATAGTTTTGCAATTGCAATAGCGATCGTAAAAATGTCATCGTGAAGCAATTTCGACGTCATGCGGGGTAAGCGTATAGCGGGGCACCACTGTATACCTTAAGCATAAATCCAAAAGTGTGACAACTATTTTTTCCAAAGAGCTTGTTTGTTTGAAAAGACTTTTTTCCCCAGAAAGTTTGTCAGTTCTTAGTTATGTACCAGAGAATCCAGGGGTTTTCCTTTTTTCAATGCACAAAGACCAAGATTCTCAGTAACAAATCCAAAGGCTGAGATTGTTCATTGTTACAGTAATGCTGCTTACTTAGAAATGCCCTCACTCTAATGGATTTTGTTTCCATTAAGTGATCTCTTACTTCTTCAGGAGAGTGCAATTCCACCGAGAACAAGCAAACATACGAACTCCTTTTGCTTAGGAACTACCAGTTTCCTTTCTGTATTGATTCAGCTTCAACTTATTGCCCCATTTACTAAAACCAGACAGCACTTCAGCACCTCCCCAGTCTCATCGGAATCAGATGATGAAGGGAAACAGAGCTGAGATATTTAAAAAGACCATTGCAATTATGAAAATTCTGATGTTCTCAGTTATTATTTCAACTCCCCTTTGTCTTACTTACCATCAAATCGAACTCTGGGTCTCTCCAAAAACATTTGTCTCCATGAGGTATAAGGAACCATTTTATTACAGGTCCTGCCCCAAACCTTCAAACAAGCCTGACGCCAGATTTCAGGATCCCTGATGAAAAGGACAGCATGTAAACTAACATACACAAATACTGAAAAGACTACTAAGAAATCACTCAGGTGTGATGAGATGGGTTCATTCAATTGAATCTTTAAATTCATAATAAGATTAGTGTCTTCTCAAAGGGAAAAAACGCAATAATCTTACTGCATTTTCCCCGAAGTCTCTATCAGGTGCATACGATAACTAGACATGCTACTGACACAAATACTGTCCTTTAGACAAGTGGTTCCCACATTTTTTTTCACTTGTGTAACCCATGGCAGCCCATATCCATAAACTGAACCTTTTACACTGGGGAGGATTTGGGGGAGGGGAACGACTCTCCGGCCTCTTGTCTTCAGGTCAATTGTATGAAGAAGTCTTCAACTGGACTGTTCACTTCCTATAATAGGATTTCCTTCAGAATTAACTGGAGACCATCTTATTTCTTACCACATCTCTGTTCAGAAGCTGCTGAAGCATCAGAAGACAACAGTTCTGTGATTATAACAAGGGTGGTGCAGTGGATAAATGGACTAGGATTCTGGAGACCTGGGTTTTATTCTCTGGCTCTGCCACGAAACTCATGGGGGAAAGGGAGGGACAGGTAAAACCATTCTTTAAATACCTTACTTACCTCAAAAAAAAAAAAACTATCTGAATCACTGTCAGTTCTCAGAACAACAACAACAAAACCCATTCCTAATAATCAAGACATATAATTGAGAATTACACTTTCTCCAATTTACACGGAAGGAAATCAGAAAGTACACTCCTGTGGAAGACTTCCTCATGCAATTAAGCTAAGTAAGGTTGCTGAGAAGCTGTGAAATCCACTATGAAGCTAATAGCGCATTGCCAATTTTCAGACTTTTTCACACCAGCAGCTTTTTCTCAGGAGTGCTGGGGGGCAAGTGCAGACCCCAAGTTGCCAGCTGAAATTAAAACTGGCCTTCAGTCCCTCTCCAATTATCAGCCCCTGATTTAGTCCCTGAACATCACGCCCATTCTACACATGAAATGGAATCGCCCAACATGGTGGATGCCATGTTGGAATTCTTCTCATAGCAAAATTTCCCACAAGTAAAAAGAAACCCCAATTGCAATGGGCGTCTTCAGGATAGGGCCTGAGTAACACAACACAATGGGGGAGAAATGGACTGCCTGCTCTATTAATTTTCCATTTTGCATTTAATGGCCAGCATCCTATTGCTAGTCTTAGCTAGATTGCAGACCTGCTGAACTGATTTCTGAATAGTAAGCAGACAGTTTATGTAAACCTCACTGAGACAATGGGTCTCCCCTACTTGGGACTTGATACTGGCCTAAATGTCTTTAATCAAGGAGAGCATTAAATAATACCGCCCATAACAGCAGTCTGATTCAGAACTGCTCACTATCACTTCATTCTGCTGCATGTGTAGATCCAGCCTCAGAATCCGGCTTATAACAGGGTAGGAAGGACTTTAAGATCAGTGTTTGAAAAGGAGGAGGGAAGACTAATGGGGTCACTTGCCCCCTAGTCCTGATGTACTGAGACAAATGGAGCAGCATAGCAAACCTCCTGCAACTTTCCAAACAACAGGAAAAATAACTTGCCTGGGACTGCCTATGGAGCAGTTTTGTTTGATGCAAGAATTTGGAAATTTGATTGGTTTGTGAAGCACTGGCCTATGATCAAACTGACTTTCCCCCTGATATTTCCAGAAGTGTTATTATTGTCTATTCCAACAATAACAATTCTGTGACATTTTAAAGTTATCTTGGGACATGTTTCCAAGTGAAGTGTTATTCTGTGTTAACAGACAGACATAAAGATGGTAGTAGTATTAAACTATAAGGTCAGAAAGAAATGTAATACAAAAAGTACAGTATGACAATTAGTGTTTGCTTTTTTTGTTTTTCACTTCACTCCCACTGGTTAACATTCAACAGGTAACAATGTACTGCATATACATTAACTGCAACATGGAGTAACACTTATCTGGCAAAGTGGACTCTAACCCACAAAAGAGGATATTGTAATACAGGAGTTGTCAAAATTATGGCCCGCAGGCCACATCTGGCCCACCTTGCCTTTCTAATCAGCCCAGCAGGTGCACGGGCTTGTGGGAGGGGGAGCAGAAGTGCGGGCATAGAAGTAAAACGAGCTGGAGACTCACTCAGGATGGTCACCATAAGATGGGAACTCTTTCCAGTGGGGGTGGGGGGCAGTTACTTGGTGGGTTTGGGGCAGAGAGGTGTGTGTGTGTGCGTGTGTGTGTGTAGTGCGCAGAAAGCCAGGCTGCGCTATTCTGTGTGTGCGCGCATACACACCTTTCTTTTGTAGAGGGAAGCTGGGCCAAGGGCGCAAAGGTAGCCTGGAGCAGGACACAGATGTGTGTGTGTCCCCTATCCCCGTCTGCTCTGGGTGCAAGGACAGCGAGGAGAGTGCGCTGAGCCAAGCCGGAGGGGGCAAGGAGGCAGGAGATGTGTTGCTGAGGTGGGATTGGCCACAGTGACGGACAGCTGCTGCGTCACTGTTGACAATGGGCAACGTGCTCGTGGGGGCAGTGAGCAGTGTGTATATGTTGCATGGTGTGCAGAGGGAAGAGCGCATGCGTGCTGGGCTGGCCATCGTGGCCCACCACCACCTTCTATGGCAGGGGTGAGCAATTAATTTCTATAGGGGGGCACATGAAAAATCTGAACTGTGTTCGGGGGCCGAACCAACTTTACTTAAAAATAAAATGAAACAGTGATATGATTGTATTTATTTTAAACTTGTTAATCTTCACAAATACTAAAGAGGTCTTTTTGCGGTATGTTAAATATAAGCAACTGATCAACTTTAGACAAAAAGCTATAAATGGTTTTGAGGTTCAACTTGTTCAGTGAGAGAAATCCAGTCTGTCTTGGGCTTGAACAAATGCTCGGGCCACACTTTGCCCAGGTCTGTTCTATGGGAAGGCTATCGAAGGGAGACCCCCACTCCTCCCAGTGTGTCATCTCCCGGGATGATTGCAAACAGGTGTTCCACTTTGCCTGGCCCGCGGCAGCAGACTGCGTGTGGCAGGAGGGCCCGCGGGGGGCTCCCTGGCTGACATGCCTCCCTCCCCCACTCCCACATCCCTCTGCCAGCGGGGGCTGTGTCAAGGAAGCTGTGGCCCGACCGCCACTGTGAATTGGGCATTGTTTCCTTTTCCCTTCGAAACCTAGCTGTCGCTCCTCATGGGGGACAGAAAGCCCTGGAAGGATAGAGCAGCCGGGGGGGGGGGG